CTAAGTGCCCTTCCAGGGTTGCAGCAAACCCTTTAACAACACAGATTGCTGGAACCAGCTGCTCATTTTCTGGACCGAGCAGACATTCTGGAGCCCTCTGGGACCAGCATGAACCCTTCCCTAGCTTCTCCTTTGCCCACACTGAACAAACCTGGATCTAGCATGGTCTCTAAGGAGTGGGAATATTAGAAGGTTAGGAAGGAAATTTAGGGCCAGAAAGGAAAGGAGAAAAGGCCAGGCTAGCCTGGGCTAATTATCTCCTATTGGCTTTCCTTGCCTGCTTCTGAAAAAAAAAATTTATAAACCTATTAGCTTCTGAGTTTCTAGTGCTTGTTTTGAAGTATAAAATAAATTATCAATATGTGGACATGATCATTTCTTATGCACTCTGGAGAGTTTTTATTGACTTTTTTTTTTAACGACATAGAACAGTGCTCTTTGGGAGATGGTTTCTTAGGTTCCCTACATAATCCTTATATGACAAGATATGACTTTCACATGCCTAAGAGCTCCTATCTCATTACTCAAGGACTGAGATCTGGTGGTCACAGGCATAATTTCTCACCAGTTGCTTTTAAAGGCTTTGCAAAGCAATGCATTTGCTTAAACCTTTGCAAAATGTATTCCCTTACTAATGATCAGTTCCTTAACTTGTGGAAGGGAAGCTTAATCAGGACTAAGCACTATATACGTCCCCATCACATACATTAGTCTAATATATGTGTGAAAATCCATGTGGTTCTGGCACATGTGGGTAAGAGCAACGAAAAACAACAAATGGGTGTTGCAGCGAGGAGCCAAGTTCTTTTCTTCTTTCCAGGGATCTAACTCTTATCTTAGTAACTCCAGAAATTCAAGATCTAAGATGTTTACTTTGCAATTAATAAAGGGAGAGAGATCCCTTTCTGAAGGTTTTGCTTGCATACTTAATTTCTAGTTGCGTTGGTTGCTGGAGGGACAGATTATACTCCTAGATTCCAAATTTTTTCCTCAGTGTTGCAGATATAATGCCAGGCACCCAAGCACACTTCATTTTTTTCTGGTGGTTTAAATGTTTAAACTGTTGGGGAACCGGAACAAATCTAACTCTTGTGTAGATAAACATATGCAATTTATTCATTCTATGGGTAAGCCTTGGGAATCCGCAGGGTTGTTAGAAACACCTGATTCTCCCTAGCCGGGAGTGAGATGGGACGCCCGTGGAAGCAACACTTTTGGTAGCATGTCTCCCTCTGATGGTCATTTGTTAGTACTACAAAAACCACCCTGAACAGTCGTAAAGCTCAAAAACAAGTAGAAATTCCTTTTCCTTTGTAGGTATGATGTTTTTTGGGTTTGTGTTGTTGTTTTTGTTTTTTAGAGAGGGAGGGGAAGAGGGAAAGAGAGAATCTTAAGCAGGCTTCATACCCAGCATGGAGCCCCATGCGGGGCTCAATCTCACAACCCTGAGATCATGATGACCTGAGCCGAAATCAAGAGTCAGACATTTAACCAACCCAGGCGCCCCAGTATGGTGTGTTTTTAAAGGACTTTCCCCATTCCAACACATCTCCTTTCTACAGGGACAATTGGTTACACTGGGATGGTTGCTAGATCACTCAGTCCCTTCTGATTAGTGTTCAATTCTGTTTTTGAAAACCCTTTCTGAATTTTCTAAGACTGGAGAGTAATATATAATCAGTTTAGCCCAGACTCCTTTTTTCCCTAACCAGGAAAACACCACCTAAAGGAAAATCCTACCCCAAGCAAATGTTTTCTGTCATCCATCCATTCATTCATTCGCTCAGTTGTATCTGACATGGTGGTTCTCAGCCCAGCACCGTGGCTGCGTATCAGAATTCCCTGAGCAGCTTTTTAAAATATGGATGCCAGGGCCGTACTTCAAAACGGATCTTACTTGGTTTTGACTAGGACCTGGGTGTTGGTATTTTTAGGCTCCCCTGGTGACGGTGATGTACTGCCAGGGCTGAGAACTACTAAGCTAATAGTCTTGAGCACCTACTACGTGCCATTCATTGTGGTAGTGCAAAGGATTCAATGGTAGGGACACAACTGGGCCACGCTGACCTCCTCCTCCTCCTCCTTCTCTTTTAAGTAGGCTTCAGGCCCAACATGGGCCTTGAACTCAGGACCTTGAGATCAAGAATCGCATGTTCTATTGACTGAGGCAGCCGGGCGCCCCCACAATGACCTTCTGACGTCCCCATTCCCAGGCTGCACATACTATCCCCTCGTCTGGAACACTGCCTTTGTTCATCACATAAATAACTCTTCCTCATCCTTTGTGTCTCAGAGACAATATCACTTCTTCAAAGGTATTGCTCCCTTCCACCTAAATGAGGTCCCATTGTATTTGTCTTTACGTAGCATCTCTCTTCCTTCATAACACTTATCCCACTTGTAGTTACAGGTATTCCTCCCCAATGGAAGTCCCACAGTCAGAACTCGGGACCAAACAGATTTTGGTATTGAGGAAAGAGGCCGATTTACCTGAAGGGATTGGAGTTTGGGCTTCAGGGCCCTGTAGTGGGCTGAATAACATCCCCTCAAAGATGTCCATGTCCTGGTCCCCAGAACCTGCGACTATGTTACCTTGCACAGTAAAAAGGACTTTGCAGATGTGATTAAGTTAAAGACCTTGAGATGGAGAGATTCAGGATTATCAAGGTGTGTCCAATGTAATCCAAGAGTCCTTGTAATGAGGCAGGAGGGGCAAAGTTAGAGAAGATGCAAGAGTGGAAGCAGAGGTCAGAAGGAGAAATGATGCTACATGGCTGGTTTTAAGGATGGAGAAAGGGGCCACAAGCCACAGAATATGGGCAGCCTCAGGAAGCTGGAGAGGGGAAGGAAATGGATTCTCTGTAGAGCCTCCAGAAGAATGCAGTCTTGCCTACATTTTGATTTTAGCCCAGTGAAACTGATTTTGGACTTCTGACCTGAACTGTGAGATGATGAATTAGTGTTGTTTTAGGTCATTAAGCCTGTGGTAATTTGTTACAGGGACAACAGGAAATGAATACAGCCCACCCCTCCCTTGTACAGTTCCCTTCCAAGACCCTGGAAATATGTTCACACGTCAAATGGTTCTGTAAAGCTTGCAAAATTAATATATTTTAACTACAATAAAGACTGCTGTCTCTTTCTACTCAGATTTCCCAAGGCTCTCTTCTCTGGTTGAGTAGCACTGGAGTGAATACAGATATTTTGGGGCTCTTGCTAAGCAGAAATGCAGTTGGGAATACTCTGTTTTGCATTTAATGGGATACGTTCATGCGGTTCATGGTCACATGCAGCATTTATTGTTGAAGTGTAGTAATGGCTTCTGTGAACACTCCTAATGACCAATGTGCTGAATTCCCCAGGTGTGGTGACAAGGAGGCATCACAGAATATGTGTATGTGCATCTCACCCCCTTAATATCAACGGAGGGTGGCCTGGTTGAGCCAGTGGCACTAGAATTCAGAGAAGGGATAATCACTGTGCAGAGGATGTCTGTAGGAACAATATATATATATAGAATTTTATGTTTCCAGTAAATGAACTTCTACCACCCCACTACCCACCACATTTTTAGTGAGTTTTGGCTGTATACATGTTGCATTTAGTCCAGGAATCCTAAAATATGGGATGTAAATATCCAAACCATTAAAAAAAGACCTTTGCATCATATTTTAGAATTAGAGCAGTTACTATTATAAATATGTCCATTTGGGTTATACATTAGCCTTACCTAGAGACCAGTGACTATTAATTGATGCCTACAGCTCTTAATAAAACGGTCCTTGCTTTGAAGCCTTCATTTAGCTGACGGGGTAGGATGTATATTTAGAAAAGGATGTGAATAGTGCAAAGTGCTCCTGGACTCAGGTCGGAGAAACCTCTTTCTAGGCCGTCATTCTTTTCTCCCCACGCCAGGTTTGGTCCTGGCCCTCGTTCTGAGTTTCCAGTTCTGGGCAAGCAGAGCAGCCGCTTGGGCCTCCCGCCTCCAGGGGGCGCGCCGTCCGACGCGGCGTGAGGCCGCTCTAGCCCGGGGGAGAGCTCTGCCTGTCTCTATGGCCTCTCCTTCCCTCAGCCTGCTGCCGCCGCCGCTGCTTCCTCTGCTCCACCGTGTCGAAGGTACTTGGGCCGGGGCCCGTGGGCGGCCCTAGGACTGAGCCGCTGACACTTCCCCTGCCGGCCCTGACGCACCGGAGAGGCCCGGGCCGGGGCCTGGCCGAGGGGCCAGGGGACCCCCCACCCCCGCACCTCCTCGGCGGCGGGAGGGAGCCCGACTGGGCGTCGCGGGTCCAGGGCTCTGCCGCTCGTGGGGGCTGGGGAAGGGCCTGCGAGGGTTCTTGTTTGTTTTTGCGGCTGAAGGCCGTGGTCGCTCGCAGGAGGGGGCCAGCCCGGGTTTGCGGGCCGCGGCGGGCGGGCCCGGGCCGGGGTGCGCCCGCGGTTAATCGGGAGGTCTGAGCCGCAACCCTCCGCCGGCGCTCTGTTGTTGCGCCCGGACCGAGCGTGTGCTTTCGCGGCAGCAACGCGGCAGTCGGTGGCCGATCGTAAGGAGCCCGCAGTCTAGGTGTAAACAGCTGTTGCGGTGTGACTGAACAGTCCAGAGTGGCACATGGCCCCGTGTTTTAAAGAGCCATTTGTCTCTTAATGTGCAATGCTAGGAAGCGGGTGGTTTACCCGCCAGGTTTTCCAATACAGCGGCCTGCCTCGAGGAAAAGATATATTTATTCTTTAAAATTGGCTACTGAACATAATTAGGAAAAAAAATATATACCACTGAATAGTGACACCTCTCACTCTTCAAAAAAAAAATAACAATGGGGGCGCCTGGGTGGCTCAGTTGGTTAAGCGACTGCCTTCGGCTCAGGTCATGATCCTGGAGTCCGGGGATCGAGTCCCGCGTCGGGCTCCCTGCTCAGCGGGGAGTCTGCTTCTCCCTCTGACCCTCCCCCCTCTCATGTGCTCTCTCTCATTCTCTCTCTCAAATAAATAAATAAAATCTTTAAAACAAAAAACAACGGTACCAAGGAGCTCCTAGCTTAAACAGCTGTCATATCAGTGGTATAGAAATTATAGTAATAACTATTTTCGGTGCTTGCTCTGTGTCAGACATGGGGCTGAGTGTTTGAAATACCTAATACCTCTATTTAATCCTTGCAGCAACCCTGTGAGGTTGCATTTCCATTTTACAGATAAGGAAAACTGAGCACGGAGAGTCTGAGTTAACTAGTCGAAGGTCAGACAGCTAGCAGAGGGTGAGCTGGGATTTGAGCTTCATCTGCCTTACTGCGGTGTTCTTGCTTCTGTTACCTGTCCATACATGTTCTAGAGATTTTTGTTTGTTTAATTTGATTGTAGCCTGAACTGATTTCTCTCAGGCGTAATTTTCATGGTTATATGCAAGAGCCCTATGCCAACTTCTTTTTAGTTTTTAAGGAGTTTAATGAGAAAAATGTTTGCTCATTAAAGATTAAAATGGATAATAAGTTAAGCTTGGAGTAAGGCCCTCACCACTGCCAATGCAGTTTGATTTGAAATAAGAGTTGGGTTTATTTGGTTGTTTGTATGCTTCATTACTGTTCTTCATTATTTGTGTTTCGATACCATTTTTAGTGAGTTCACTTTGCCTTTGCAATATGATGACAGTAGTACTGAAGGGAAATGAAAGATTTTTCAATGACAATAAGTTAATATCTTACTGGATACAGAAAAGGCACTGGAGAGAGACTGGAGTAAAAAGGAATGAAGAGACTTTTGGCATGTTGTTTAGAGCAAATTGAGTTACTTACTATGAAGGATAAAGAATTTCCACTGTTCCCATGAGCATCAGAAGGGAAGTCCTATTTCCCATGAGGAAAAAGGTTGGATATTAGAATCTCCCAAATCTCTTAGCCTTATCAGGATATAAGAATTTCCATATTCAACATTCTTGTAGCAAATGTATATTGAATGCCTTCCATGGCCGGGCACTGTTTTACACATTGGGGATGCAGGGGTGGGAAAAAAAAAATCTTTGTCTTCATGGAGCACTGGAGGAGTGGGTACAATAAACAAAATAATTTGAAAAAATTAAAATATATCCAGTCAGATGGTAACTGTTGCTAAGAAGAAAAATAAAGCATCTAAGGGGGATAGAAGAACCAGAGAAGAAGCAGATGCAGTTTTAAAATAAGGAACAGCGTCATGGAGAAGATTCTTGTCTTGTCTCCCTCCGACAAAACTGGAGGGAGTGAAGGACAGCCATGGAGCTATCTAGGGGAATAGTGTACCAGGCAGGTGCAGAAGCCCAGAAACTGCCAGTCTTACTGGAGGACCAGCAAGGAGGCCAGCAGGTTTGAGCAGAGTAAGTAATGGAGGGCAGAATGGGGTCTGAGAGCTAACTGGTCCTGGTAAAGACCTTGGCTTTTTCTCTGAATGAAGAGGGGAATGGGTGGAAGGTTTTGAGCAGAGTTGGGGGATCTTACAACGTTTTAAAGAGTCGCTCTGGCTGCTGTGTTCAGAATCGACTGTGGGGGCAAGGATGGAAGAGGGGAGACTGGTTAGGAGGTTGGTTCAGGAATCCAAGGGAAAGATGATGGGGGCTTAGACCAGCTGGTAGCTGCCAGGATTTATTGATGGATTGGATGTGGAGTGGACCGGTAAAAGAATGAAGCATGACTCTAAGGCCTTTCTTTGGCCTGCTGTTGGAAGGATGGGTTTGCTGTTTACTGAGATGGGGAAGATTTAAGGGTGGAGAGATAAGGGGAGGTGGGTAGAGTGGGAATTAAGAGTTAGTTTTAGATGTGTCCGGTTTGAGATGCCTGTTCACATGGGGTTATAGGAGACTGGAGTTGATGGGAAAGATTGCAACTTGAAATCAAAATTTAGGAGTCTTTAACAAGTAGATAGTATTTAAAACCATGAGTTTGTATGAGATCTGGTCTAAAGAACTGAGGATTGAGCTCTAGGCTTTCCACATTCAGTGGTTGGAGAGATTAAGAACCTCAAAGACTGAGGAGGAAAAAAAAGCCTTTGAAGGTAGGAATGTGGAGTGCCGGAAGCCAAGTGAAGAGAGTTTCAGGAAGGAGAAAGTGATCATCTGTGTCTCCTACTGCTCAGTTGACAAGTCATGTAAGATGAGGACTGTGAAATGGCCATTGGATTTAGCAACGTGAAGGTCCTTGGGGACTGCGCAAGAGCACTTTTGGGAGAATAGTGGGGGAGAAAACCTGGGGTAAAACCTGGTTTTACAGAGAGAATAGGAGAGGAATTGGAGTCTACAAGTATAGACAACTCTTTAGAAAAAGTTAGCCGTAAATTTTTTTCATATATAAATTATTTGAAACACTGTCATTTTCTTTTTTTGTTGTTTCAGTCTTTTTTATTTTTATTTTTTATTATGTTATGTTAATCCCCATACATTACATCATTAGTTTTAGATGTAGGGTTCCATGATTCATTGTTTGTGCATAACACCCAGTGCTCCATGCAGAACGTGCCCTCCTCAATACCCATCACTAGGCTAACCCATCCTCCCACCCCACCCCCCTTCTAGAACCCTCAGTTTGTTTCTCAGAGTCCATAGTCTCTCATGGTGTCGTCATTTTCATAGTGACTAATTTTATTTCCAGCTTCACTTACTTAGCAACTAGGCTTGGATTATTTTATCAATGGCTGGTGGAAGTAAATAACTATACTACTACTACTGATAATAATAATGTGTTATTAATTAACCTTCAAAACCAATACACCAGGAAGCTTGTCCTTTTTTTTTTTTTTTAAGATTTTTATTTATTTATTTGAGACAGAGAGAATGAGAGAGAGCGAGCACATGAGAGGGGGGAGGGTCAGAGGCAGAAGCAGACTCCCCGCTGAGCAGGGAGCCCGATGCGGGACTCGATCCCGGGACTCCAGGATCACGACCTGAGCCGAAGGCAGTTGCTCAACCAACTGAGCCACCCAGGCGCCCGAAGCTTGTCCTTTTTATATAACACATTTCAGGACTCATGAAAGTGCTTGGGTTGGAGTGTGTTCTTTTGCTACTTTGTTCTTACCTTAGGTTAAAAAATTAACTTACAAGTGTTACAGCTGTGCATTTAAAAACAAAAATACATGCATCCAGAAATTGAGAACTAGGATTTATTTTGGAGTATGGTGTCTCAGTAGTAGTAAGAACTGACTGCTGATATACATCATTTCTGTTATAAGAATTAATTCATAAGTAACAAAATACACTTGGCCTTTTTTATTTATAAGGTGTGAAGACTTAATACTTCATTGCAAGTGAATAATAATATAAGACAGCATGGTTTAAAAAGGGAGTAAATGTAAAAAAAAAAAAAATACAATTTTTATTTGAAGACATGAGTTTAGGTTCTTGTGTTTGCCCTGAGTAACTTAATGCCCACATACAAATACAAAGTAATCAGTGAGATACACAGCTTATGGCATATTTACACCATCTTAGCTGTGGATATCAGCTCTTTCCATGATCTTGTTGTGTACTGTTTCCATAGTAGGTACAGCCATTGGTTGCATTGTAAAGATTTAGAGTGATTAAAATATTTCAAAGTTTAGTGTTATAGCTACTGATTTTTTTAATCCATTAATCCTATCTGGAAGATGACAGCTTCTTCAATCTTTTTTTTTAGTGAGGGAAGTAGTTTCTTAAGTTTGTGCCTTTTGTTTTGTTTTTTCATTTTTTTTCTGTGGGAATTTTTCATGGGTTAGCTCTGGTTTCAAGTTGTATTAATCATGTCACACATCCTTAACTTTTTTCTTTTCATTTTTTTTTTTAAAGATTTTATTTATTTATTTGACAGAGAGAGACATAGCGAGAGCAGGAACGCAAGCAGGGGGAGTGGGAGAGGGAGGAGCAGGCTTCCCGCAGAGCAGGGAGCCGGATGTGGGACTCGATCCCAGGACCCTGGGATCATGACCTGAGCCCAAGGCAGACGCTTAACGACTGAGCCACCCAGGCGCCCTTTTCTTTTCTTTTGTATCGCTTCTTAAGCAGGCCTTTCTGTCCCGGATTTGATTTTCTGCAGTATTTCTTCTGTTTCTTACTGCTCACAAATTGGATTTTAAATTTCTTTTATGTTTTTATTTTACTTGCAGTTTTGTTTTATCCCAATCTCCTTCTAATACTGTTTTTTCCCCTCCCCCTGAGTTCTTAATTTTTTGCATATTCCTAAAGCACATTTTTTTCTGGATTTTTTTTTTCAATTTCTTACTTTAAATAATTGTCAGTGGTATGCTTTTCTTCATGTAGAGCTGATGAATCTCTTCTGGTGCAGATTTTTTCATTGACTCCATGTTGACTTTGTTTTGTTATTCATCCTTTAAAAATGAAAGAACTTGGGCGCCTGGGTGGCTCAGTCGTTAAGCGTCTGCCTTCGGCTCAGGTCATGACCCCAGGGTCCTGGGATCGAGTCCCACATCGGGCTCCCTGTTCAGCAGGAAGCCTCCTTCTCCCTCTCCCACTCCCCCTGCTTGTGTTCCTGCTCTCTCTGTCTCTCTCTCTGTCAAATAAATAAATAAAATCTTTAAAAAAAAAAAAAGAAAGAACTTTTGAGATTGTCACTATACTATTGAATTGTCATGCCAAATTTGCTTAGTACCATTCTACTGAAGACTTTTTCTAGATTTCTTGCAAGGAAAATAATTAGAGAATTGGATTGTGTGTAGGCATTCCATAAAGAACTCTGTTGTGGTGTGGGCAAAGAATTTACCTATTTAAAATAATTTTTGCTATTATTAAAACTTAAGTTTATAGTTGTATCTTTGTAATAAAGTCCCTTTTTTTTTTTTTTAAGATTTTATTTATTTATTTGACAGAGAGAGAGACAGTGAGAGAGGGAACACAAGCAGGGGGAGTGGGAGAGGGAGAAGCAGGCTTCCCGCCGAGCAGGGAGCCCGATGCGGGGCTCGATCCCAGGACCCTGAGATCATGACCTGAACTGAAGGCAGTCGCTTAACCAACTGAGCCACCCAGGCGCCCCGTAATAAAGTCCCTTTTTAATGACTCAGTAAGTAGACATAAGAATGATCAATTTAGCTTAAACTTCTATGTATAAAAATAAAATCAGTGACAAAGGAACAGCTAATTTCCAGATTAAAAGTGTGCTTGTTCCTTTTTCTTCCAGCTTTATTGAGGTATTAGTGACAAATAAAATTGTATATATTTAGGTTGCACAACATGATTTTTTAAGGGGTACAACATGATGATTTAGTATTCTTTTTTTTTTTTAAGATTTTATTTATTTGACAGCGAGAGAGCTAACACAAGCAGGGGGAGTGGGAGAGGGAGAAGCAGGCTTCCCGCTGAGTAGAGAGCCTGATGCAGGGCTTGATCCCAGGACCCTGGGATCATGACCTGAACCGAAGGCAGAAGCTTAATGACTGAGCCACCCAGGCGCCCCGATGATTTAGTATTCTTATACACTGTGAAATGTTTGCCACAGTCAGGTTAATTAGCCCATGCATTACCTCACATAGTTAACTTTGTGTGTGTGTGTTGAAACACTTAAGATCTACTCAGCAAATTTCAAGTATACAATACAGTATTACTATAATCACCATACGGTACATTTGAACTTCAGAGCTTAGTCATTTTCTAACTGAAAGTTTGTACATTTTGACCAACATTTTCCTCCACCTTTCAGTCCCAGGCAACCACCATTCTATTTTCTGGTTCTGTGAGTTAGGCTTTTTAAAATTCTACATATAAATATGATCATACAGTATTTGTCTTACTGTGTCAGTATTATTTCAACTTGGCATAATGTCCTCCATGTTTAATCATGGTATTGTAAATAGCAGGATTTCCTCCTTTTTTAATATCTGAGTAGTATTCCATTGTATATATATATATATACACACCACATCTTCATTTTCTGTATTATTTAGCTGTCAACTGACACTTGGTTATTTCCGAATTTTGGCTATTGTGAATAATGCTACAATGAACATGCAGATATTTCTTCAAGAGAGTGATTTTATTTCCTTTGTTTACATACCCAGAATTGGGAACTTGTTCTTGTTTTAGTGCTGTTCAGTTTTTCTGAAGCTTCTCTTTGTTCACTAAGATCTTTAGCAATTCCTCCAAGGCAGTGTTTAGCAACCTTAAATACTTATTTATTATCTTTATTGCCAGTAATTATTAGAGAAACAAAACAATTCTAAGACCAAAACATGTCCAATAGTAGAAATATACCCATTTGATTAAAAAATGGACAGTTTATTGTCTCTAGCTCTCTTTCATGTAACCATAAACACATATATATCAAAAAAATAGTGATATTTGTATGTATTTGATAAGCTATCCAATAAGTAGTACTTTTTTTCCCCTCTGGAAGTTTGTAC